GCATCGTTTTGATGGCAGATATTTAAAGAGGAAAAATAGGCTATTTTAAAATGCTCATAACTCCTTAAATATGGATATTTCGGGGTTTTAAGCATCGTTTTTATGGCAAATATTTAAAGAGGAAAAATATGCTATTTTAAAATGCTCATAACTCCTTAAATATTGACATTTCGGGGTTTTTAGCATTGTTTTGATTGGAGATATTTAAAGAGGAAAAATATGCTATTTTAAAATTCTCATAACTCCTTAAATATTGACATTTCGGGGTTTTTAGCATCGTTTTGATGGCAGATATTTAAAGAGGAAAAATAGGCTATTTTAAAATGCTCATAACTCCTTAAATATGGACATTTCGGGGTTTTTAGCATCGTTTTGATTGGAGATATTTAAAGAGGAAAAATATGCTATTTTAAAATTCTCATAACTCCTTAAATATTGACATTTCGGGGTTTTTAGCATCGTTTTGATTGGAGATATTTAAAGAGGAAAAATATGCTATTTTAAAATGCTCATAACTCCTTAAATATTGACATTTTGGGGTTTTTAGCATCGTTTTGATGGCAGATATTTAAAGAGGAAAAATATGCTATTTAAAGAGGAAAATAGACTATTTTAAAATGCTCATAACTCCTTAAATATTGACATTTTGGGGTCTTTTGCATCGTTTTGATGGCTGATATTTAAAGAGGACAAATAGGCTATTTAAAAATGCTCATAAATCCTTAAATATTGAGAGATATTTAAAGAGGAAAAATATGCTATTTTAAAATGCTCATAACTCCTTAAATATTGACATTTCGGGGTTTTTAGCATCGTTTTGATGGCAGATATTTAAAGAGGAAAAATAGGCTATTTTAAAATGCTCATAACTCCTTAAATATGGACATTTCGGGGTTTTTAGCATCGTTTTGATTGGAGATATTTAAAGAGGAAAAATATGCTATTTTAAAATGCTCATAACTCCTTAAATATTGACATTTCGGAGTTTTTAGCATCGTTTTGATTGCAGATATTTAAAGAGGAAAAATAGGCTATTTTAAAATGCTCATAACTCCTTAAATATGGACATTTCGGGGTTTTTAGCATCGTTTTGATTGGAGATATTTAAAGAGGAAAAATATGCTATTTTAAAATTCTCATAACTCCTTAAATATTGACATTTCGGGGTTTTTAGCATCGTTTTGATTGGAGATATTTAAAGAGGAAAAATATGCTATTTTAAAATGCTCATAACTCCTTAAATATTGACATTTCGGGGTTTTTAGCATCGTTTTGATTGGAGATATTTAAAGAGGAAAATTATGCTATTTTAAAATGCTCATAACTCCTTAAATATTGACATTTCGGGGTTTTAGAATCGTTTTCATTGCAGATATTTTAAGAGGAAAAATATGCTATTTTAAAATGCTCATAACTCCTTAAATATTGACATTTCGGGTTTTTACATCGTTTTGATGGCAGATATTTAAAGAGGAAAAATAGGCTTTTTTAAAATGCTCATAACTCCTTAAATATTGACATTTCGGGGTTTTTAGCATCGTTTAGATTGCAGATATTTAAAGAGGAAAAATATGCTATTTTAAAATGCTCATAACTCCTTAAATATTGACATTTCGGGGTTTTTAGCATCGTTTTGATGGCAGATATTTAAAGAGGAAAAATATGCTATTTTAAAATGCTCATAACTCCTTAAATATTGACATTTCGGGGTTTTTAGCATCGTTTTGATGGCAGATATTTAAAGAGGAAAAATAGGCTATTTTAAAATGCTCATAACTCCTTAAATATTGACATTTCGGGGTTTTTAGCATCGTTTTGATGGCAGATATTTAAAGAGGAAAAATAGGCTATTTTAAAATGCTCATAACTCCTTAAATATGGACATTTCGGGGCTTTTAGCATCGTTTTGATTGGAGATATTTAAAGAGGAAAAATATGCTATTTTAAAATGCTCATAACTCCTTAAATATTGACATTTCGGGGTTTTTAGCATCGTTTTGATGGCAGATATTTAAAGAGGAAAAATAGGCTATTTTAAAATGCTCATAACTCCTTAAATATGGACATTTCGGGGTTTTTAGCATCGTTTTGATTGGAGATATTTAAAGAGGAAAAATAGGCTATTTTAAAATGCTCATAACTTCTTAAATATGGACATTTCGGGGTTTTTAGCATCGTTTTGATTGGAAAAATATGCTATTTTAAAATGCTCATAACTCCTTAAATATTGACATTTCGGGTTTTTTAGCATCGTTTTGATGGCAGATATTTAAAGAGGAAAAATAGGCTATTTTAAAATGCTCATAACTCCTTAAATATGGACATTTCGGGGTTTTTAGCATCGTTTTGATTGGAGATATTTAAAGAGGAAAAATAGGCTATTTTAAAATGCTCATAACTCCTTAAATATTGACATTTCGGGGTTTTTAGCATCGTTTTGATGGCAGATATTTAAAGAGGAAAAATAGGCTATTTTAAAATGCTCATAACTCCTTAAATATGGACATTTCGGGGTTTTTAGCATCGTTTTGATTGGAGATATTTAAAGAGGAAAAATATGCTATTTTAAAATGCTCATAACTCCTTAAATATTGAAATTTCGGGGTTTTTAGCATCGTTTTGATGGCAGATATTTAAAGAGGAAAAATATGCTATTTTAAAATGCTCATAACTCCTTAAATATTGACATTTCGGGGTTTTTAGCATCGTTTTGATGGCAGATATTTAAAGAGGAAAAATAGGCTATTTTAAAATGCTCATAACTCCTTAAATATGGACATTTCGGGGTTTTTAGCATCGTTCTGATTGGAGATATTTAAAGAGGAAAAATATGCTATTTTAAAATGCTCATAACTCCTTAAATATTGACATTTCGGGGTTTTTAGCATCGTTTTGATGGCAGATAATTAAAGAGGAAAAATAGGCTTTTTTTAAATGCTCATAACTCCTTAAATATGGACATTTCGGGGTTTTTAGCATCGTTTTGATTGGAGATATTTAAAGAGGAAAAATATGATATTTTATAATGCTCATAACTCCTTAAATATTGACATTTCGGGGTTTTTAGCATCGTTTTGATGGCAGATATTTAAAGAGGAAAAATAGGCTATTTTAAAATGCTCATAACTCTTTAAATATTGACATTTCAGGGTTTTAGCATCGTTTTGATTGGAAAAATATGCTATTTTAAAATGCTCATAACTCCTTAAATATGGACATTTCGGGGTTTTTAGCATCGTTTTGATTGGAGATATTTAAAGAGGAAAAATATGATATTTTATAATGCTCATAACTCCTTAAATATTGACATTTCGGGGTTTTTAGCATCGTTTTGATGGCAGATATTTAAAGAGGAAAAATAGGCTATTTTAAAATGCTCATAACTTCTTAAATATGGACATTTCGGGGTTTTTAGCATCGTTTTGATTGGAAAAATATGCTATTTTAAAATGCTCATAACTCCTTAAATATTGACATTTCGGGGTTTTTAGCATCGTTTTGATGGCAGATATTTAAAGAGGAAAAATAGGCTATTTTAAAATGCTCATAACTCCTTAAATATTGACAGTTCGGGGCTTTTAGCATAGTTTTGATTGCAAATATTTAAAAAGGAAAAATAGGCTATTTTAAAATACTCAAAACTCCTTAAATATTGACATTTCGGGATTTTTAACATCCTTTTGATTGGAGATATTTAAAGAGGAAAAATATGATATTTTATAATGCTCATAACTCCTTAAATATTGACATTTCGGGGTTTTTAGCATCGTTTTGATGGCAGATATTTAAAGAGGAAAAATAGGCTATTTTAAAATGCTCATAACTCTTTAAATATTGACATTTCAGGGTTTTAGCATCGTTTTGATTGGAGATATTTAAAGAGGAAAATTATGCTATTTTAAAATGCTCATAACTCCTTAAATATTGATATTTCGGGGTTTTTAGCATCGTTTTGATGGCAGATGTTTAAAAAGGAAAAATAGGCTATTTTAAAATGCTCATAACTCCTTAAATATTGACATTTCTGGGTTTTTAGCATCGTTTTGATTGCAGATATTTAAAGAGGAAAAATATGCTATTTAAAGAGGAAAATAGACTATTTTAAAATGCTCATAACTCCTTAAATATGGACATTTCGGGGATTTTAGCATCGTTTTGATTGCATATATTTAAAGACGAAAAATAGGCTATTTTAAAATGCTCATAACTCCTTAAATATTGATATTTCGGGGTTTTTAGCATCGTTTTGATGGCAGATATTTAAAGAGGAAAAATAGGCTATTTTAAAATGCTCATAACTCCTTAAATATTGACATTTCGGGGTTTTAGCATCGTTTTGATTGGAGATATTTAAAGAGGAAAAATATGCTATTTAAAGAGGAAAATAGACTATTTTAAAATGCTCATAACTCCTTAAATATTGACATTTCGGGCTTTTTTGCATATTTTTGATTGCAAATATTTAAAGTGGAAAAATATGCTCATAACTCCTTAAATATTGACATTTCGGGGTTTTAGCATCGTTTTTATGTCAAATATTTAAAGAGGAAAAATAGGCTATTTTAAAATGCTCATAACTCCTTAAATATTGACATTTCGGGGTCTTTAGCATCGTTTTGATTGCAGATATTTAAAGAGGAAAAATATGCTATTTTAAAATGCTCATAACTCCTTTAATGTTATCAACTTCGTTTAAAGAACACAGCAAACATATCACATTAATTCATTTTCGAACGGTAGGCCCACCTACTTACCTACCTACCAACCTATCTCGGGATTTTAGGGAATTTCTTTCCCCATTCGGTCTGAAGTCAGACTGAACTAGGAAAGTTTAATTCGCTAGGTACTTACGATAAACCTTTGTCAAAACGTATTATTTTTTGCAGATAAATATAGGATACGAATCTGTGCGAAAGGTCTTCACTTTATTTGATATTATTTAATAAATGTTTGAAAGTTTTTTGTTTTTATTTTTGCTTTTTTATTTTTTTCTTCTGTTTTTTTTCTCTACACAACACTAGTTTCATTTTCTTTGCTTAAAAATTAAGAAAACCACAAATAATCAAGGACACACAAAACAATTACAAAACTACAACACCATTTTGTGTTTAAAGCAAATTTGTTAGTTAATTTTAGTAATCTATTTCTTAATAGTAACAATATTTTTAAATAAATGTTTGTGTAACTTTAGTAAATATTATTGAGTCTCATTTGTGTAGAACATAAAGATTTCCATACAAAATACTCGGTTGGTTTCCTGATATCGATTTTTGCTTTTTTATTTTTTTCTTCTGTTTTTTTTCTCTACACAACACTAGTTTCATTTTCTTTGCTTAAAAATTAAGAAAACCACAAATAATCAAGGACACACAAAACAATTACAAAACTACAACACCATTTTGTGTTTAAAGCAAATTTGTTAGTTAATTTTAGTAATCTATTTCTTAATAGTAACAATATTTTTAAATAAATGTTTGTGTAACTTTAGTAAATATTATTGAGTCTCATTTGTGTAGAACATAAAGATTTCCATACAAAATACTCGGTTGGTTTCCTGATATCGATTTTTTATTTAATTTTTTTTAGGACTAAAAGCTAAGTTTTTTTTGTTTGTTGTTTTTTGTGCTAGAAATGTTACATATCGTCGTCATACTGTTGTCGTTTGGGGTCCGCAGAGTTGTTTGGGATTCAAGAATATGATTTTTTAATTCAATCAGTATTTACGAATAATTACATCCCTATGGGGAGGAGGGAGGCAAGAGCGAGTGCTGTTGAGCTTTTGGTGTCATTGCTGCTGCTGTTATGGTTGTTATTATTGTTATTGCAAACAGCCTGTGCTGCTTCGGTGATGTCCTATTGGCCATGGACATTAGTTCTCCATATCTTACAGGGCTCCATTTATACGTTTCGGTCCTGATGCATTCATTTGTCGTGTATTCATATCGGAATTCTAAAAATAATTTTGGGTTTTTTACACATAAAGTTTTGTAATGTAGCTTGTGGATATGACCAGATATGCAGAGGTGTATGTAAAAAGCAGGTGTAAAGTTCGAATATATATATATATATATATATATATATATATATATATATATATATATATATATATATATATATATATATATATATATATATATATATATATATATATATATATATATATATATATATATATATATATATATATATATATATATATATATATATATATATATATATATATATATATTGATAATAGGTGTACAAATCATGAAACCAAAACCAAAAAGTAATAACTGAGTAAAAATCATTCGTCGCAGGTATTTATAACCTCCACCACCAAATTGTAGATATTTCTGTAGGATCTTGTTCTGACATTCTAAATTACGACCAACTTAGAATATCGATTTTAAGAATAATTTTAAAATTTTTGTAAAAAGGCGGAATCAACTCGACTCGAGGAATTGTGTTTTCAATTTTTACAGGATGAATGCATATTCATTCTGAGCCCCAAAATGACAAATTACGCAATGATCAAAAACAAGGAATTTTGGAATGAAATGAGAAAATAAAAACAAGCAACCTTCGAAATACCGAATATAATTGCTGCGCAATTCTATACAAATGCTGTTTCCGTTGGTCGTACAGAAAAATCGATCTGACCAAAAACCGATCAGATCAACACTAACTTTGTTTTTTAGGAGAAAAAAAAACTGGCCTGTGATTTATGCCAGAAAAATAATTTCACGTTTATTGTTCATCAGCTGTCAGGGACCAATACCGTGTGAATTCCAAACTTGAAGAAATTTCGCTGGGACCAAATCGAAGATTTCCATCGTTGAGTATAAAATTAACGATTAAAAAAATATAAATTCGAAAACTCGGTCAGGCCGAACTTTGCATTTGCATACCATATGGAACGTTTTGGAAATTAAAAAAAAATCCGTTAAAAATTCTGTTAAAATCTTAAAAATACCGAATATAGCCGTTATTTTGGGGTCTATACGAAGACGTGGAACTGCAAAGGCAACTTTTGTCATAAGCCATTACAATATACAAATACTAAACTTAAAAAAAGATTCGGTGAATAATGTAGCTAAAATCATCTAAATACCGAATACAACGAGGTACCGTAATATCGGGGCTATACGAAGACCTAGACCTGCGTAGACAATTTTCTGTCACATGCTGCAGTACATACTAGGAACTTCAAATAAGAAATTTCAAACGATTTCGGTGAATATTGTAACTAAAATTGTCAAAATGCGGAATATAGGGAGGTTCTGATCATTGGGGCCTATACGAAGACCTAGACCTGCATAGACAATTTTCTGTCACAGACTGAAAGAAATTTGAAAAAATTTCGGTTAATAATATCGCTAAGATCATCTTCGAATATTAGGAGGTACCGTTATATGGAGGCTATACGAAGCGTGGACCTGCATACGCAATTTTCTGTCATAAGCTTGTATGTGGGCTATACAATATCGTATGTGTGCTATAAAATGAGAAAATAAAACCAAGCAACCTTCGAAATACCGAATATAATTGCTGCGCAATGCTGTTTCCGTTGGTCGTACAGAAAAATCGATCTGACCAAAAACCGATTAGATCAACACTAACTTTGTTTTTTTAGGAGAAAAAAAAAGTGGCCTGTGATTTATGCCAGAAAAATAATTTCACGTTTATTGATCATCAGCTATCAGGGACCAATGCCGTGTGAATTCCAAACTTAAATAAATTTCGCTGGGCCCAAATCGCAGATTTCCCTCGTTGAGTATAAAATTAACGATTAAAAAATATAAATTTGTAAACTCGGTCAGGCCGAACTTTGCATTTGCACACCATTTGAAACGTTTTGGAAATTTAAAAATAAGATCGTTAAAAATTCTGTTAAAATCTTAAAAATACCGAATATAGCCGTTATTTTGGCGTCTATACGAAGACGTGGAACTGCAAAGGCAACTTTTGTCATAAGCCATTACAATATACAAATACTAAACTTAAAAAAAAGATTCGGTGAATAATGTACCTTAAATCATCTAAATACCGAATACAAGGAGGTACCGTTATATCGGGGCTATACGAAGACCTAGACCTGGGTAGACAATTTTCTGTCACATGCTGTAGTACATACTAGGAACTTTAAATAAGAAATTTCAAACGATTTCGGTGAATATTGTAACTAAAATTGTCAAAATGCGGAATATAGGGAGGTTCTGATCATTGGGGCCTATACGAAGACCTAGACCAGCATAGACAATTTTCTGTCATAGACTGAAAGAAATTTGAAACAACTTCGGTTAATAATATCGCTAAGATCATCTTCGAATATTAGGAGGTACCGTTATATGGAGGCTATACGAAGCGTGGACCTGCATACGCAATTTTTTGTCATAAGCTTGTATGTGGGCTATACGATATCGTGGACCGATATAGCCCATCTTCGAACTTGACCTACCTGCAGACAAAAGGCTGATCTGTGCAAAATTTTACTTCCTATCTTTATTCGTTTTGACTCAAACGTGATTACAATAGACGGATAGATGGACAGACGGACGGACAGGGCTATATACTTTGTCAGGTCTAAAATTATTATTTCGATGAGTTACAAACCGAATGACAAACTTAATATAACCTCCATACTATGTATCGTGGAGGGTAGAAAAAAGGCTCACGAAAAATAGATTCTAATTATTATTAGTTTCTTATTGTACAATAAATAACCTCTGCATAAGCAGACAACTGGTCAGAGTCAGAGAATTAAGTAGTTTTATTCAGTTTTACAAGAAAACTGTGAAACTGTGTGTTAACCTTTGGGATGTTATAAAAAATATAAGTATTGAAAATAGTGACCCTTTTGTGGGAGAGGTACCGGAAGTGGTGGGCAGATATCTATAGACTTCACATTAGATTTCGCAATAGTAAGTAATTGTGGAATGTGTTAACTTTTGAAGAGAATTTGACGCTTCTTTCGCATTTAATAAGAGTTATAATTATTAAAAATTTTGACCCGTCGTGGGGGTCAGATAAAGTGATCCGTATATTCCATTTTCTCACAAGATATGGTGTTGATAAAAACAATTGGGATGTGCCATGTCTAAAAGGAATCCAATGCTCTTTTCGCTTTTAATAAGCTTCAGGGTTATTTAAAATTTTGGCCCACATCTACCATCCTCACAACAGATCTTGTGTTAATAAAAATACTGGTATGTGTGAAATTTGAAGAGAATCGGATGCTGATTTTAAATTTTATAAAAGTTGTAATTATTAAAAATATTGACCCGTTGTGGGAGAGGTACCACAAGGAGTTTTCCGTTCTACTCGTTCTTCATATCAGATATTGTCCCGGTAGAAATATTTAGTGGTGCGTAAGTTGGAGACAATCGGTCACCCCCCTCCTTTGTAGAGGAGGTACTTGACGGAGTGGACGGATATTGTCCATTTCAGAACTCGATCTAGGTCTGATAATAACATTACGATGTACCTAGTTAGGATCAAATCAGGAACTCCCTTCGAGAGTTATACTGCGCACCAGTCAGGCAGAAGGCACATTGAGATAGAATTTTGCTACTTTTTTAGGCTTTCAATTTCCAAAAATAAAAAAAATTTCAAATTGCTTGCACAAAAAATATCTTCGGATAAAAATGTAGAAGATTGCAAGAAGCAATTTGTCCGGCAACAATTTTCAAGCTCTCAGTAAAAGCACTGTCAAAATGTCTCTCTCTATCTAATTGCTTTATTTCGCAATACTTTTGTATTAATATACGACTTCCAGCAAAAATTAGCAGCAATTGTTACCAATTTTAGGGTAACCAGACATACCTTATACGAAGACGTGGACCTGCATAAATAATTTTTTGTCATAGGCCTTAGTACCCATTAAGATCTTCAAATACAAAACTTGAAACAATACATTGAAAGTAAATAAAGGGAGGGACCATTGAATAGGGGCTATCCTAAGACGTGGAGAGACATAGGATTATTTTTGCATAGGCAGTAGTACCCATTACAAACTTCGAATATAACATTTGAAACAGTCCAGATAAATAATGTCGCTAAAATAACAAAATACCGAATAAAGGGAGGTATAGTTATATAGGGACTATCCTAAGACGTGTAGAGGCATAGGATTTTTTGTTATAGGTTGTAGTACCCATTACAAACTTCGAATACGAAATTTGGAACAATTCGAGTGAATGATGTCACTTAAATCGTTAAAATACCGAATATCGGGAGGTACCGTTATATGGGGGCTATGGTTTGTAATTTTGCCTATTTTGGAATTTGTGTTGAATTGCTGAGTCGAACAAAATTTCCAGGTTATACAGTGTCTAGGACTATATTATACATTTTAATAAATAAATTAAAAATTCTTAAAAATAAATAAAAATGTGTCATAGTACTAGATAAAATTATAAAAAATGCATTTATTGTGTTTCATCTTAATTAGAAAATATATATATAAAAAACGACAACAAAATAAAAGTTATGCACTAAAACTAAAAGTATAACACTATGTTGTCAGTCTACACATTAAAGCCAATTGTTAAATACAATTTTTCAATTACATTTTGTATTTGATATAGTAGTAGTAGTAGTATTTTTATAAAACAAGACAACAAATTAACTAATTTCCTTTGGAACGAATAAGACTGTATAAATAACGCCAACGATTGGAAAAATCCTGAAAGAGTATTTTGATTTAAAGTAGAAAATAAAAGAAGAAAGAGAAAAGAAAAAGAATAAGAAATATATATATATAAAAAAGAAAAGCATATGAAAAAAGAAGCAAGACCCATAAGAGTTCATTGTTGTTTGTTAAGGGATAAGGCGAAAGGACCAATTAAAGTTACGTATAAAAGTTTAAGTTAAAGATGTAAGGACATTAAAAAGTGTATAACTAGGAACTGACTGGAGATGATATTCTTACATGTTTTAAAAACTCTAGGGGGTAACGCATAAAGTTCTACATTGAAAGTACACAATAACAACGTTAAAGGAAAAGAATAGTGAAAGGTTTCGATTTCGACAAAATGGGCTAATTAGTCAAAAATTATAAAAAAAAAAACTTCTGATACATGAGGGGAATTGAGGCCAAGTAATTAGTCAATTGAACAAATAAAGTCATCTGATTATATTAATGCCAAAAAGGATGATATTGAAAATTTAGCGCCTAACTATTAGGAGCAAGTGAGTTGTATTTTGACAAGTAATACAAGATTTTACAGTTACATCAAAAACAGCAATAAAAAAAAAACATCCATTTGTCTTAGGAACTAATACTAGGTCAATCGATGCCGTCAAATCAAGCCATATTTCCCCTCCAATTTTTATCGAAATCAACGAAACTTTATTAAATTGAAAATGTGTGCAGAAGTGTCTAGGTATCGTTTGTGAAAGTAAGACCCTAGATGAGCTATCAAAATGTTCACTTTCATCAATCTCAAATACATTACAATTAAAATTTAGTCGATATCTTATGGGATTTAGTCGATATCTTATGCTCATGTGTCTTTTATTTTGTTAATCCTTTCCGAAGGGATCTGATACAAAGGGTGAGATGAAAAAACTGCAACCAATTTCAGACTGCTGTCATTTCTAAGCCACTCGCCCGACAGCTGTTAAAATTATTCCAGCGACAGCTCATTATATTGTTTACAAGCATACAAAAGCATTTTGATGAGAATTTTCCAAAAAAAAAGTTATTTCTGATGGAATTCAAGCGTGATAGTGTGATTTCCTTATATTTATTTCCCCAACCCCATCGCTCGTTACCGTGCGTAGCCCGACGTCAAGGAAAAAACAGCAACATCAGCAGAAATGGTTCGAAAAGCAAAGAAGCGATTTGATCGAAACCCGTGTCGCAGTGGCCGAAAAATTGCTCGTGAGCAGAACATATCGCAATATTCCATTCGGCAAATATTGAAAAATGAGCTCGGAGTGGTAAAGCCATTGAAATTCCAAAAAGTGCAAGGACTTACACCGCAACGGAAAAAAAACTAAACTCAAAAGAGCTAAAGAGTTGCTTCGCTTGGCCGATAGTGGTGAACTGCCGAATTTGGTTTTCTCCGATGAGAAAACATTTGTTGTCCAGCAGTTTGTAAACAAACAAAATTATCGTGTTTACTTGCCAAAGAAGTCAGCTGAAAATGTACACCTCCGTGACATCAGAGTAAATGCCGAATGTTATCGCGAAAATATTCTGGAGGGTGTATTAAAGCCTAGGGCACGCAAACATTTTGGCCGCAGACCTTGGAATGGTTACAAAATGAGGTTCCCCGCTTCATTTCATTTCGACATTTTTTGCTTTCATTCAATAAAATTAAAAAAAATGTAAAAATTATGGCGTTTGACTTTGTTGCAATTTTTTTAATCTCACCCTGTATATATATCTGATCCGATTTTCCCCAAAAGTCTATCCAATTTGAACAGATATTACACTTTAGGTGCACAATAAAAGTGAAATCAGAAAAAGATATATATGGGAGCTACGCCCAAATCTGAACTGATCTCAATAACATTTAGCAGAGGTGTTTGTATACTGTCTCTTACAGCTGGCACCAAATATCGTTGTTTCGGAGTACATTGTACGGGTGTGAGGGACTTAAATACAAAATCGGATGAAACATATATATAGGACCTATAATTATATCTGAACCGATTTTCACCAAGTTTGACACACTTTTCTCCAGGCTGAATTCGTGTATGCAAAAAGTGTATTTAATTTAATAAACTTTAAATCGGATAAAGATATATATGGGAACCACATCTAAATCTGAACCTATCTCGATAAAATTTGGCAATGGCATTTCGCAACTATATGTGATACCTTTTACCGAATATCTTTGTTATGGAGTTCATGTTATGACTGTGAGGCACAAAAATTACAAATCGGAGCTATTTTATCAAACTGGACATTATTGCTTTTAGGCTCAATTTGGTGCCAAATTCCTATTTGGGCTAATATTACACATTTGGTCACAATAGAAGACAATTCGGACGAAGATGTATATAGGAGCTTTATATAAATATTGACCGATTATCTCCAATTTCAATAGGGTTCGTCATTGGGCCAAACAAATGATTTGTGCTAAAATACAGGGACAGGCAGACGGACGGACATGCATAAATCGACTCAGAATTCTATGAGGTTCCACAAAATCTTACAACATCGATATATAAAAACAAAACTTCTAGTTGAAGGTATTTGACGTCGCTCCAATAACACTAAAAATTGGCACAAGTTAACCAGATTTTAGGTATAAACCAACCTGCTTCAAAAAGTTTTAACAGCAACAGTAAAAAATCGTATTATTTAGGTCTGTAAGTATCCAGTCAACGTTTGAGTAGTGAAAGAGTATTATTTAGGTATGTAGGTTTCCAGTCAAAGTGAGAGTAGTGATAGAGTAGGAGTATTCACTAAACAATAACCAAAAACAATATAATTTAAAATGTGTTTCCCAAAAAATGCATTATTTTGTTTTATTTTCATTTATTTAAAACGTATTAAATATTTGTGCACGCAATGTGATGTTGAGTTTTGGATTTCACTTACAAAATAACAAATGTCGAAACAAAAAACAAATAATACAATGTATTTCTTTTTGACTAAATTAATAAACAAAGTTTTAAATTTAATAACTAAAAAGAATAAAATTAAAGTAAAATTTTCGATTTTATGTGTTTTTTTATTATAATTATTATTTTACATAGAGGATATACATAGGGTAAGGTAGGTATAGACTTATAGGATAGAAAGAACAACAGATAAAAATGAAAGTAATCAACCATAACAATAATATACGTATGTATGTATGTTTGTCTGTTTGGTGGTCTTTATATGTTTAAGATTGTTTTAAAAACTACAACTCAAATTAATTAATAAATAAAAGCCACTATGTCTTGCATAAATGCAAAACCACAATTATTATATAGAAATTTCTTATTTGCAAATATAGCTACAGAAGATAGATCCAACTAAGAAAAAAATCAACAATTAGCATTCACTCTCATCAGTTTTGTTTTGTTTTTCTTTTATGACATACACAGCTTCTTTTCATCACAATTCTTTGTCTCGCGTTAACCGAAATTATGTTTGACAATTTTGGAATGTCGACCAAAATTAGAATAATTAAAAGCTAAATACATTTTGTGTGTTTGCGTGGTGTTTTATAAACATGCTTTGTAATTTTAAATTAAAAGCCGAAAAATATTGGAAATAAATATAAATTTCGTAACTAAAAGAATATTATTTTACACCTAAAATTAGCCAAAACAATAAAGAGTAACCAAAACCTTTATCAAAGCTTTTTTACCCAAATTAACACAGCCCTAGAATTAGTTTTCTTTTCTGTACACAAAAGTATGTAAGGCCAAAGGACTACATCATACGAAACCAATTTCAATTAGTCAGAATAATGAAACTTTTGTGTGAGGTTATGTTGGTATTTTTTTGGTGGGTGGGTTGTTTGTTTGGTTTGTTTTTGGGGGGTTGTGTTAGATTGGTGTTAGCTGTGTGAGTCTTTATAATTCACATGTTGGATGGGTTTTCAGTTGGAGGCGTGTATGACATCTCGTTTCCTTTTTGTATGTTTTACCTGATTGGACCAATCACCGGTGGGCACTGTGGCTCTGTAGAACTTCGAACTTGTCTTATTGAAAATTGGCAGCAACTCGTTAGCCTCGTCAGATAAAGCCTGTAAGAAAAGAAAAGCAGTAAATAAATCATTATAAAAATGGGAATAGGATGTAAAATTTGGGATAACCATTATAAACCATGTTTGTATCTAAGCCTATTACTTAAAGAAAGATTACTGCCAACTAAAAACTCGGCATAGGGATATACTACAAAACATACACACACATACAAAATTTTCTGAAGATATCTCCTTTTCACTGAACATTTATAATGATAATTTCTAGTATAATACAGGGTGAGATGAAAAAACTGCAACCAACTTCAGACCGCTTTAATTTCTAAGCCACTCCTCCGACAGCCGTTAAAATTTTTCCAGTGACAACTCATTATATTGTTTACAAGAGTACTAAAGCATTTTGGTGAGAATTTTCCAGAAAAAAGTTATTCGTGATGGAATTCAAGCGTGATAGTGTGATTTCTTTATATTTGGCTGGAAAACCACAAGTTGCTATCGTTAGAGCACTAAAGCATTTAAATGTCAATAAATCTTTTGTGACTCGTACCATCGCAACGTCAAGGAAGTGGACGAAAGAAAACATCATCATCAGCAGAAATGGCTCGAAAAGTAAAGAAGCGACTTGATCGAAACTCGCGTCGCAGTGGCCGAAAATTGGCTCGTGAGCTGAACATATCGCAATATTTTATTCGGCAAATATTGAAAAATGAGATCGGGGTAGAGGCATTGAAATTTCAAAAAGTGCAAGAACTTACACCGCAACTGAAAGAACATAGACTCAAAAGAGCTAAAGAGTTGCTTCGCTTGGCCGAACGTGGCCAACTGCCTCCGATTGAAAACATTTCTCTGATGAGAAAACATTCGTTGTCCAGCAGTTTGTAAACAAACAAACTGACCATGTTTACTATTCAAAGAGTTCAGCTGAAAATGTGCACCTTCGGTTGGCCACCAGAACTCAAGCGCCGGCCATGGGGATGGTGTGGGCCGATTGTCGCTCTCCGCGCTCGTATTAATCGATCGTGACATCAGAATAAATGCCGAATATTATCACGAAAATATGCTGGAGGGTGTAATAAAGCCTTGGGCACGCAAACATTTGGCCGCAGACCTTGGACATTCCAACAGGACTCAGCACCATAGCACTCAGCACGCACCACCCAAGAATGTTTACAAAATGAGCGTGTGACGGTTTCATTGGCCGTTTGAAGGCTATAATTCGTGCCAAAGATGATCAATTCGAACAAACCTAAACTTATTCTAAATTTTGATGCTATTTCAGACATTTCTTGCTTTCATTCGATAAAATTAAAAAAAAATGTAAAAATTATGGCGTTTAACATTGTTGATTTTTTTATCTCACCCTGTATATTAAATATTTTCCGAAACTGTAAATGACTAAGTGAAAACGCCAAACCTACTGAGAAGCGAAAACCAATGCATGCATACGAGTTCGAAGAAAGAAATCTTGTGATCTCCATTTAAAATCCCTGTCATGTAGATAGATATTATTTAAAGCCAGTTTCGGAACGCTCTGCTCAAATAGATTGTAAGATTTAACACACTTTTAACTGAAGAGCCGCCAAACATAAATACGTTACTGAAACCAAGAGATACCTGATAAGGCTTGCAGTCGAACTGCCTACAATTCATTTGTTCCATTGGGGGAAAGCAATACATCAGCAAACTGCTGATATACAAAGACAACAAGGATATTAAGAATTCGGGTGCAAATTTGATCTTCTGTATCATTGTTTAATCACTATAAACATGTATAGATATTCTCTAGTTATTCTTTTACATTTTATCATATCTTTGCATACGCACACATTCCAAATGACAAAAAACTGAATGTATAATAATAAAATAAGTCCAATCAGGGGTTATCTTTCCTTCGAGCATAATCCTGAACATGGTCCAATTATAAGGTCTATCAAAAGGCGAATTCCCACAAAATACAACTCTGCCACCTACGATTATTGTCAAAAATTGGTTTTAGAGCGAAAAAGAAAATATTTCGCCTCAACAGAAAAATATTACAGCGAATTTCTGACATCAATTGTGACACAAAATATACATATATAAAATATTTAAATATTGTTTTAATGTAAATGAATGAATGAATCTCGAGGATGTTATTGTATTGCCTGGACTTATTATTTCCTTTAAAGTCTTCAAGATTTTATTGGAGTAAAACAACAATATATTTTTGTTTTTTTTTTTTTTCGAGAGTTTTGTTTTGCGAGAAGAGAGGGTGAGAGAAAAGGTTTTCTATCGCGCTCTGGATGAAATATGCAACACATATAGGCGATGGAAGCTTATAAATTATCATGGCATCAATATCGAAAGGCTGGGTGTGGGCTTAATGAAGGTGATTGATCTGGGTTCGTGATCTGAAGTCTAGGACGTGGACTTGGTTCCTGATCTACTACACAGCGACAACGTACAGTTTCCAATGTACATGCGAGAGAAAGTGTCCGCTAATGCCGTTCGCGTACCTACACAGGCTTTGTAATTTATTTACATAACGCCACAGAAAATAATTGAATTGCTAAATGTTTTTATAATCTTATTTCTCTTCAAATAAAACGAAATAGCGGGGTTTTCACGAATTGTATTACAGCTGCACGCATTTTTCTAGCCACGTTTTAAGGATTTCTTTAGCTTCAGTTGAGGGATTCTTTGCGAGACCTTAGCTGTGTCTACAGCATTTGTGTATTTTTGTATAAACATTTAGATTACATAATTGGGTCTCCACATTGTCAGCAGCATGGAGCTAATTCAAAAAACCCCCTTTCTTTCATATTTCTATTTTTTTTCGTAAATTAAAAATGTTTAGACAAAGAAAACAAGTATTATTGACATTTGTGGAAGTTGTAAAGGTATCAGCTGGTCTTGTTTGTCGACCTTATAATTGGGCCATGATCCTGACCAATGTAAATACATTTTCGAAAGCCTACTTCTTTAATCGATATTATATAAATGTAATTTGACAAATAATTTCCTTGGGAAAATCATTTAGTTATTTGATATTAATTACTAACGAACTCACCTTCAAATAGATAATGGCATCAGTGCCATAACCTTCACATGACAACAAAACAATATCGCCATGGAAGTAACGGGCATATAAACGTGATATGGGCAAACCATAGCCATAACCGGCCAAAGGAACGGTGTGTAAATCCGATTTAGATGGCTGGGGAGCCGTACTATACATATACTTAAACAATTGATCAGTTTGTGAACGTGGAATACCGCCACCCTGATCTGAGATCTGAAAGCCAGAAAAAAAATAATAATCAATTTAAATTTTACATAGCATAACATTTATAATTGTACCTTAACACAAATGTCTTCTTTGCCACGCACAATCAACACTTTCAACGGTGGCAGCGTCTCACATTTATCCTGATCGTGATGTTCAACAACAGCACGCATGGAATTTTTGAATAGCTCAAAGAGCATATGATACAAATGCGATGGCACATAAACGGTACGTATCGGCAGAGTCTCACCATCCATTGAGTTGTGTTCTTCTATTTCTAATGCAGGACTAACCAAATAGTATTGGTCGCAAAGGAAACGAGCATTTTCATAGGCATCTTTAACAACATCCGATATATTACAGGCAGGATCTAAGCAACCAACATGACGGCCTTGACGTTCCATTGATTCACCGAACAGGAGAGCTGGTGGAATAAATTTAAAAGTGTAATATCGTGTGATATAATATTTAAGTGAATTTGGCAATTTTTTTGTTAAATAATGACAACAGAAAAATGTGATCAGTAAATGAGTATCAGATCGAATTAAGCTAGAAATAGCACACTGTTTGTGTTCAAAGAGAGCTTTTTTTGGTGAATATTTAAAAAAATTAAACTCAAGATCCCTTAGTAGTCGCAGTCTTCAAACGTTTGCGCCCAATCAAAGGAACCTTTTACAAAATTAAATTTCGGTTCCAACTCCAGGTTAAAAAAAAATACTTGCTACTTTTACGGACTGTACTCTTCTCTAGAGAGAGCGGAGTAAGTTTGACAGGGCAATTAAAGAATTGTAGCGTGTAGGCAACTTTATTACACGACGGTCCAATACGAATTTAGACGACTGTACCATCCGAACGTAATTGGGTCAAAACTACCTTGGTTTTATCTAGACAGTCGACGTTCTTCTGCTACAATGGATGGAGTGGACTCCGAGAACCGCATTAATACTATAATTATTAATGGCATCTGTGACTGCAACAGTATGAATGCCACTCAGACCTGTCTGATCTTGATCTAGAGGCTGTCTCTTGTAGCATTGGAAGACCTCGCACGATAACACCCAAGCAGATACTGCAACGAAAGCAAAAAGCTGTCGTACGTGTAGATGGTCCACTGACGTCATAAGAAGGCATCCTGTCACAATTCCCAGTGCAGCATTCTGGCAGGTAGTTAATTTAGTGTTGAATATTTTCATATTCCTCGCGTGGAAGTAGGCGGAAAGCTCCACCAGAAAGGTGTTCAAGGTGAAGGTGTCATCAGCACTGGGGACGGACGCCATGATCGTACAATCATCCATATCTATATCTATCTCTTCGGTAGAGGTTAAACAGTTCCGAAGATATCACCTCACCTTGGGGAATTCCCTGTTTAACTCAACGGGGTTTAGATTACTTGTTCCGGAATTCCTCGTACGACTGGGTTAACTCATTTACAACGTTTTAAAACTTGGCCGGAGGTTATTTCTTTCCACATCCTCAAACAATGTGGCGTGGTTTACTGTATCAAATGTCTTTGAAAGGTCAAGCGCTACCAACACTGTTCTATGACACGGTTTATTCTAGTTTAATCGTCGAGGAATATGTGGGGATATGTGCTATGTTGTGGACGGAATCCTTATTGATGGTTGGCAACTGGATAGCTTCCTCAAGAGTCTTTGCTATTGGCGACAAAAGAGAAATGATTCGCCTTTGTTGGTATCCTTGCCTGGATTCAGTAGCGGGAACACAGATTGAAAAGTTTCAACATTACCACTGAGATTCCGTCTGGGAACAACTCTTTGGATGACATAATGTTTCGGATGATATTTGCAACATCGCTCATCGTAAATTGGATCAGTCACCGTCGTAAAAAGTGACTGAGGTCCCATCATCCTTTTCCCAGGGTTCGAGAGCGATTTAACCGTTAACCACATATTATTCATACCTATTCCAATGTTGCAACACTTTAGTCTAGTCTAGCCACTTTTTTCTCTTATGCTCCGGTACCAATCGGTTGACTTTCAGAGTCAGTTCTCTGATTCAGGCATCAGAAGGGTTAGAACGACGGGGATCAATCAACTTATATTCTAGTCCTGCTGCTTCTGCTGGGATTTTTTTTTTTTTTGATAATGTTTCGGAAATTCTTGTTGTTCCTGAACATCGGAAGGGTTGGGTATACCTCTGAAGCGAAGGTTGGTAACCTCTCTGATTTCTGGACAGTGAACTTTGGTTAAGAAAAGTGCGACGTCCCGAAGTTATGAAATCCGGCTATTTGCTTATGGAGGCGATTATTCGGAGAGGGTCTGACCCAAGAGAAATTACGGTTTGCCAAGTCACGGGAACTGTGACCCTTTCCTCTTATTCGGATGGGGACATCCTAGTTTACTGTGCAGAACGTGGAGCAGTCAATATGCTCCGCCAGCGTTGATCCCATCTGATTAGTACCTAGCAGTATTTTTTTTTTTTTTGTACTGACGAACAGTGAAATGTACCCTTGCTAACTCTGGAATGTTTAAATACTTCACTTCCAGAACTTGCTTTTTCAGCAAAGCTTACGACCTGCGTTTTATTTTGTTAGATGTCAAAAATGAATGGCTACCTTAGATATTATCTTTAATCTTGATCTATTGTCAGCTTTCGTAACTTTCATTTTGATCCCTTCCCGTATATACGTGTGGAAAAAATTTTTCACAATAATGGTTGGACTAAAGATTTCATTATATCCTTGGGAAGCGGTTACACTATATGTAGCCCATTGTGCCACACAAGAAGTCTAGACATGCTTATCGTTTACCACAAAAAGGGGCATAGACGATTTAATATTTAAGTTGCATCGAAAACAGATTTATATAACTAGGCCACGCACGGTCGTTGCCAAGCACTATAACAAGTAGAAAGTGTAATGAAAAAACATCATAAATCACATTCCAAGTCCGCTACTTAAATTTTCTTAACTAATCAGAAAAGAATACAATTTGATTAGAAGACTGTGGAAAAATATACATATATAATGTTTCACATTGTACTCTGTCTGGTCCGAGTATGAAAATTCGCAGACATTTGTGAAAATTATTCAAGACTGACTGAAGAATGATGCATTTCACTTACTATGCTGATTGATTAACATGCGTATGCTAATACGCGACATATAAAGACGATCCAGAAAATATTGTATTGAGGTTTCCATCGATGAATCAACATTGCCATTTTCCGTTTCCTTCATTTCAATGACACCCTGGGCCATTGTTTGAACAACATCACTGTGACGATTGCGTATGTGTTCCAGGGCGCTGCAGAAACTGTAATAGAATTATATGACGATATATTATTGGGCTGTCTTAAGACAAAATAAGATCTCAACTTACGATTGCAGATTATCGTGTGTGGGCTCGGCCTTTTCATATTCCAACACCTCTTCAAAACTTTTCATATACCATGAACTGACTTGACTCACTGAGCATGTATTGAGTAAATTATCAGGTAATAGAGCAATTTCTTTCATAATATTGGCCAAACGCACCGGAAGTTCTTTACGCAGAAAAATAAACGATTTCTTTTCGCAGGCATTTTGACCTAAAAATAAAAAGAGAAGAGAACAAAACAAAATAATTAAATAATATTTTATAATGATAAGGCAAATCGCACAGCAATATGTTGTTAGTATTAAAAAATTATAACAATAAACAATAACTTATCTGAATACCACCCATTAATCAATGTTTTGAAATGGCTAAAGAGGCCAGCAAATGTCTCGTGATATATGGAATGGAAGTTTCTATTACGTAGTACCGGCCTCCTCTTTCTAAATGGCAATGGGAAGCTTTAGGAATTCAGCCATTGGAAAGAACAACGTCTTATAATTTTCTTTTTTGGTCTTAGAACCTTCGAATCAATATACATATTCAAATGTTTTCCCTTTTCATCATGTGCAATCTATCAAAATAAACATTTGACGTTATTATGGTGGCGATAAAAGCAAAAGAAGTCAAGCCTGGAGCGATGACGATAATATTGTCTAGACATAAATTAGGGCGTTTGGTGTGTCGAGTTTTTTTTTTTTTTCTTGAAATTTTGGCAAACGTGTGCTAATCACTTAATGCGGCACACTTTGAATTGTTTTGATAAAAAAGTTTTTTTTTTTGCCATAAATTTTAGTTCACCATTAGATGGGTGTGTATTTAATTTACCATTACTATTGCAATAACTTCAAAAAGTCGTGGGAGACGCTATAAAGTATATATGTATATTCAGCCGATTTAGCCCTATCTATCGCCTAACCGCTCGTCTGTCCGTTTTGCACAGTCATTGACATTATGCCTTCAATGTTTGGTATTTAAAATTGAATATATTGGTCCACGTTTAGTTATAGCCTCTATGTAACGGAACCTCCTGATTTTTTGTATTTTAGAGTTTTCTGCCCTCTCCTACTAAATTAACCCAAATTTGACATTTCGACTTCTCTGTGAAAGATTAACTCTTCTCAAAAAATATTCCATATAGAACCATTTGGTGGTATAGCCCCCATATGTTTCGGATTCTTTGTGGGAATCATGGTTTTATGTGGGCTTTAGCCTCCAAATGTTAGAGATCAGATTTGCTTGTTTTTACTAGCAAGTTTAACAGGAAGTTTACTCTCCACTTGTTTGTGCGAGCAGTCGTGAGTTACTCTTGAAAAAGAAAAATATTATGAGTCCGAATCAGAATAGAGCAAGAGTTTATTCTAAGACCACAATCGAGTGGAAACCATTATTCTGTTTGCTGATTTGTATGTGTGTGTGTGAAGCAAGGGATGGGTGGATTTTGAAAAATACAATACAACAACCTCATCATATGCTTTGTTGGCACAGATTGGTGACAATGTTCCTTAAATGTTTTTTGTTTAGATGATTTTCTCTTTCGAGTTGAGGTTTTTGTTGTAAAAGAGTACTGGACAAGAGTTGAATCTCTTCAATTTCGAGTAGATTTTACTCGAACTCGGAAAAAAACAAAGTCTAATCGTTCTTTTTGGAATGACATAGCAAAATTCATCTCTTTTTCACTTCATCTCTTTTTTCACTTGCAGAAGTACATCCGCTCGAGTTCGAGTAAAACTCCCAGAATATCGAAGCTGTTATTTTAACGATAGACGTTTAGACTCATTTTGTCAAGCAAACTTGTTGTAATTTTGCATTTTTCAGTCCTTAAAGCAGACATCCGAAAAACTAGCTGGAATTTGAACAAAGAGTGAAACTCACTCGAATTCGAGCGAGAGCGCTCCCGGGAGCGAAAAAAAACGATCAAACTCAAACTCCGATGTCGCTCAAATATGAGTGAGCATATTTTCCACGCTTTCGGCAAAAATCGAGCAGATTCCACTCTTACCGAACACTCTTTTAGTTTTTGTTGTACCAAGATCACCCACCACCCCTTCTTTCCTCTATCCCCCTAATATTAGAAAACAAAAAATTGTTTCACTCATTTTCACTCTTAGAGCAAATTATTGCTCTATATTGAGCGGTTCTGCTCCCACTTTAATTTTTCAAACACTTCGTAAAAAACACCCACAATTTGATCTTTCCCGCTACAAATGTTGGTCCATTATTTGGTATTGCTTTATATAATAACACTTCCTTATATCAGAAAACAAGATATTTTTTCACCCATTTTCACTCTTAGAACAAATTCTTGCTCTATCTTGAGCGATTCTACTCCCATTCTAAATTTTCAATCAGATGTGACTGGGGATTGCTCCCGCACAAAACAAAAGAGTGTCGTTTTGACATAAGCCCCACATACACAATGTTGCTGGAGTTTGACATTTTTAAGCCTTAAAATGTGGCAAATATCGTCGCAGCTATTGTTGAATGTATATCCAGGCGCCCAATAAGACCAATGATTTAAAATATTTACAGTTTTCACATTTAATTGAGTTAAAATTAACAGACGAATACCCTCAGCCATTGTTCGATTATTTAAATTTATTTTGACTTCTGTTATGATTATTCAAACTGTTGACCCTCTATGGAGTGGGTTCTGAGGGAATGGGCCAATATTGTCTATTTCATATCGGATTTAAATAAATACGATATATACAGTCAGAGCCAAAAGAAAGTTTACACCTTCATACACAGTAGTATTAACATTTTTTAATATCTTTGTAACTTGAGTTTGCGCAACTTTTTTTTGTAAAATAAAAACATTATTGAATCCATTTCAAATTAAAAAAGAACAACAATAAAATTCACACAACAACAACAAATTTATTCAAAAGAGTAAATAAAAAGCATATTTCACGCGTCAAAAGAAAGATTACAGTTAGTCTTCTCAGTTTGAAAGGCTTCTGGTACAAGAACAAAGAATGCTTAATTGCCGTTATTTTTTTTGGTTTGGTATGTTAGGAGTTGTAAAGAGTCATTGCTGTTCTAATTGTCATCAAGAAAAGATTTGCTAAGTGTTCTTAAGCCAGAAATCTATGATGGGTAAACAGACTTCTACCGATACAAGAGAAATAGTGATTAAATTTCATAATGAGGGCAAATCATTACGCGAAATCGGTTCTATTATTAATAGAAGCCATGCAGCAGTAAAAAAAATAATTGATAAATATAAAAATTTCGGAAAAGTAGAAAATCTTCATAAAGTTGGAAGGCCAAAACGGCTAAACGAAACTGAGATACGGTCCGTAGTAAGGACTGTGAAGCAAAATCCAGCCGAAAGTGCAGTGAAAATCGCAGAAGCAATATCGGAATCTTCAAGAAAGACAGTAAGTGCCAGTACAATACGACGAGCACTCCACGCCAATGGATTACATGGTCGTGTTGCTAGAAAAAAAGCCGTATATATCCAAGGTTAATCAAAAGCGACGACTGGATTATGCAAAAAAGTATAAAGATAAGGATATTACTTTCTGGAAAAATGTTGTTTTCAGTGACGAGAGCAAATTTGAGATATTTGGCAAAAAGAAATTGGGAAAAATATGGAGAAGTAAGAACCAAGAGCTGGCAGAAAATAATATGGTAGCGACCGTTAAGCATGGCGGGGGTTCAGTGATGGTGTGGGGATGTATGGCGGTGAGCGGAGTGGGTAATTTGGTGTTTATCGAAAGCACTATGAATAAAATAGACTACCTAAATATTTTAAAAAATAATTTACGCCCCAGTGTCGAGAAATTGGGTTTGGATTCTACATGGGTCTTCCAGCAAGACAATGACCCAAAGCACACTTCAAAAGTTGTGAAAGAATGGATGTTGTACCATGTACCCAAACAGTTGGATCATCCCCCACAATCTCCAGACCTCAATCCTATAGAGCATTTATGGGAGTATCTCGACCGCCAGATAAGAAAAAGGACATTTACGAATAAGGATATGTTGAAATCGGTTATAATGGACGAATGGTCAAAAATTCCATCCGAAGTGACAGAAACTCTTATAGAATCAATGCCACGAAGATTGCAAGCTGTTATTAACGCAAAAGGAAAACACACAAAATACGAACTTTTTGCCTTTCTTTGTTTTTTGTTTACTGTAAACTTTCTTTTGACGCGTGAAATATGCTTTTTATTTACTCTTTTGAATAAATTTGTTGTTGTTGTGTGAATTTTATTGTTGTTTTTTTTTTTTTAATTCGAAATGGATTCAATAATGTTTTTATTTCACAAAAAAGGTTGCGCAAAATCAAGTTACAAAGGCATTAAAAAATGTTAATACTACTGTGTATGAAGGTGTAAAATTTCTTTTGGCTCTGACTGTATATGGGGTAACTTGGTAACAGATTGGTAACTTCCTTCACTATACATGACACATGTGCTAATCTTTAGAAAATATTAACATGAGCGTGTGGTACCAGTTATAATCGACCAAAGTATTTCATTTTCATGCTTCATCTAATACATATAAAAATATTAGTATGGGCAAAATTACAAGAAAATCGAACAGTTATGTCCAATTTTATATGAAATCATAAATTCTATATAATCTAAGGTTTCTGGTAGAGAAGTATTTAGATATAGGAAGTTGTAAGGAATCACTGACGGGTTTCGCAAGTTATGTCAGATAAAAGTATTAAAAATTGTGCAATTTGCGAATTTGGTTTTTCAACATATTGAGACCTATGTGGGGAGGTACCAGAAGGAATGGTCTGATCTCTTCCATCTTTACAACAGATTTTGTGTTGAGGGAAATATTGAGATGTACCAAGTTTGAATGGAATCGGATGTTAATTTCGCGTTTTATGAGCTTAATGGATATTCAAAATTTCGTGGGGGAGGTACCAGAAGGAGTGGACCGATGTATTCCATCTTAACACCAGACCATGTGTTAAAAAAAATATTGGAATGTGTGAAATTTGAAGACAATCGGACATCACATTTTAAAAGTGTTGTAATTATTCAAAATGTTTACCCTTTCTCGGGGAGATACTTGATGGAGTGGACAGGTATTGTCCATTTTTCGAACCTGACCTAACACTGGCGCAAATATTAGGATTTGCAAAGTTGGAGCAAAAGCGGATTATCATTTCTCTTTCTGTGCAGAGAATATATTTTTGAAAAATTTCGACCTTTTGTGAGGAGGTACCAGAAGGGGTAGACCGAT